AGTGATGTGGTCAAGGCTGAAATGATTTTCTATACAAATTCATTGTCCAGATTGGCAATGCGAAGGAAGAAGACAAAGAAGAGTAAGTAAGAGGAACACATACATTGCTGATTATTCAAATAATACATGTGGATGGTCCATTGTTAATGGAGTAGATGTGACTCATAGCCCCACACCCATAGTCCGAAAGTATGATTTTTTTTTTAAATAACAGTGCTATATTACACTTGTAGTCATTGTTTCAGTATCCCAGTGAGGCTTCCAGGGCCCCATTGTGGGGGAGAAAGAATAGACCCACTGCTTCTTCAACAAGCTTGTCAGAGGACGCGATGAATTAGGGATGTTTCCATCGAAGTCAGAGTGCATCTGCTTGAGAGGCGTGGAACATCCTGCACACAAATAAGCCAGATCTGTTGAACAGATCTGCATGCAAAACTCAACTTCTGCAGGAGTTTACAGCTCATGAATGCCAAGAAAAACAAAAGATGATGATTACAGTATATTGTGTCCCAGGGTTACTTGCTCAGTGTATCATGTGTCATCCGATTTGAGCTCAGCATATTATTTATTGTTCTTTTGACTTCCACATAACATTTTCCTAGACTATCATCAAACATTGAAGGATTAGTTCAGCTCACCATCTTTCCCAGAGTTCCATATTATTTTTACAGTCTTATCTGGTCGCCACAGTCTTGTTTGGTCATATTTGCTTCACTGTATTTGTCACATTACATTTAAGGGTTATTCTTTTGTTGAGCTGTAGGTGACGATACATGTTGAGTTTATTTATGAGAAGGTTTTTATTGTAATACACTTGTTCTTTTGGAGAATGAACAAATTTCATTTTCAAAGAATCACAAATTGGGCATGCAGGCCTGTCTTACATCGTCCCTTGCAGACACTCATCTTTTAAACAGCAGTTATATTTTATCTGTTGCACATGTTATATTAATATAATAATATACATAATTAGAACATCAAGAGACATAAATACTGGAAATAACAAATGGTGTTTGTCTAATGACAGGGATACATTCACACATTTATTTAGTAGACAGTTTAGGCTGATTCTGCAAGTTGAAAGAAGTAACTACGGGTAAGGTTGAGAATGGAGTTGGCTACTTCACCCCATAAAACCTTAAAGCTGCAAAAGCCAACCAGCCATGAAGAACAGGTCAAAAATCACAGGTCTGGTGTGAGTTGGTTGAGGGTCTTTGTTCCATTGAAGGATCAGTGGCAAATGTAAAATGAATTGAGAGAGAGTGTGTGTGCATGTGCGCGCGCGGAGCGAGCACTGTCACTGCAGTGGAAAATTGATTGACCTGCTTGTGTCTAGTTTTTTTTTCTTTCTCTGTATGTCTAGCTTACTGTCTTATCATGTTTAGTCTGCTATCTGGTATCTAGTTTATTATTTTTTATCTCTGTATGTCATCTAGTGTCTACTTGTGTGTCTAGTTTACTGTCTGCTTGTGTCTTGTCTGTGAGTATCTAATCTACTTTCTGTGTAATCAGTTTTTTCGTTTATTGCTTGCCAACTTCTTGACTATCTGTGATCATTATAAATCATCCTATATCTAATCTTCATACACATTTTTTTTTTTGTTGTTGCTAACATCAGGAGTTTTATTGCATATTAGCATTTGTTTGATATAGTGTCTGCTCAGTCAACAATTCAGAACTAATTTCTTTGTCGCAGTCTCTAAATTGCATTTTATTATTTTCATAATAAATACAAAGGATGTGATTTTTCTTATGTTTGTGCATTACATTTCTGCACACACTCAGTAAATATTGTCGACCTGTATGCCTCTATGGGAATACATATAAACGTTTATTGATACAGAATGTTGGGTGGCGTATACCAAACCTGACATCCCATATTGTGCTAGTGGCTTCGAGCGGAGGAGCTCATTGGGGAGGATAGTAGCCTTATTCTTGTAATAGGAAATGCAGCATAAAAACTTTGTTATGGCAAACCAGGCCTTTGGCCTTGGCTGGTAGCTGGTCTAGGAGGGAAGCTCAGACAGGTGGACAGATAGAGCACAGCTCTTTTGATCTGGCAGCTTTTGCAGCGTGCTTTGTTCCAAACATACTTGTGTTACCATTCCTTTAGAATAAACAAGGCAGGTTGAGGAAGGAATCAAGATGTATGGGAATGGGCAACATATGGTCTCTGCAGTACTGTCAGGCTTCTGTGGGAATGGAATAAGAATAAAGGAAGACATGATTGCAGAAAGGATGAGAGCTGAGCCTCTGAGAAGAAGCACACTAAATACAAATGATAGCAACAACAGTCCCAAAAGCTCATTTTATGATTGTGGACAACTTTTCAAAATGCTAGTAGTCACATTCACCATCGCCATGGGCTGTCAGTCCCATACTTCATATAGCACAATATAACACTATGGTCTGTAAAGATGGAAAGGTGCAACTGTATAAACCTAGTTTCTAAATAAATCATAACAGCTGTTACGGTTCTAGTTACATTTTCCGCCCCAGAAAGAGAGTGACTTTTCTTGCCATTTATAAATTGTCTTGTCCTATTTTGTGGGTTGTCACGCTAGGCCACCGGCCGAAGATAGGGTCTCAAAACACACAAAAGTGGCCCTAACCCCTATGTCCTACCAAAGTGCAGCCTACGTCCCATGACTGCATGCAGCCTATAATATACGCTGCATACAGTCATGCGACCTAGGCTGCATGCAGTCGTGGGACGTAGGCTGTACTGTGGGGGGGGGGGGGGGGGGGGCAGGAAAGCGCTCACATCCATGAATATAAAACATGTAACATTGCCAGGCCATGACAACTAGTTAAATGCTGCATGTTGTTAGCCGGTCACTAAGTGTGACACTCCCCAACATAGCCCTGCGATTTATGAATGGCAAATGAAGTTACTCTCTTTATGGGCTGGAAAAGATAAATCGAACTGCTATTAAATATTTTATAATTGTGACATTTACATTATTTAACTGTAAAACACGGGCTTGAAGGAAAAAAGGGAAAGCTATTGAGATCTGGTGTTATCACTGAATACAAACTGTGAGTTGGACATAAAGGAGATTAAATAAACATATTCTGAAATGATATTGATTGGCAGCTGCTGAAAATGTACATAAATGTAAGGCTGTCTTGAGCTGGTGGACAGGTGTCTGACAGGTGGACAAATAGAGCACTGCTCTTCTGATCCGGTTGCTTCTGCAGCATGCTTTATCCAAAGTTTTATCATCATTCAGTTATCAAACCACATCCTCCTGAAACTTCATGATTCATTTCTGTACACCAGGATTGGCACTTTTTATTGCCATCTCATTCGACACTAAATCCACCATTTGTCACTATGTTTTGTCTGATAACAGAAGGCTTTTAAAAAAAGATTTATTACAGAAAGACACTTGGTTTTACAATAAATTTCAGTTCAATTTTTGATGTGCATAACATAAAGTAGCACTAACATAAAGAGAAACACCATTTTCAAACCAGCAGCGCATCAGCAATATTGTACTAGATCCATATCTTTAAAGACCAGCTGGCAACATTACACCAGTCCTCTTTAACTTCCCAGGATATTTCCTGTTAACCCATTTTAGACTATTCTACCTGGGAGCCAGTGTCAAATTTGTGAATACAGACCGAAGACAAAGGTCAACGGGCAAGCCTTTACCCACTGCTTGTTCATCAACTCCCAAGCAGTAACATTACTTGGCTAAAGTAGATTACACAATTTATTGCTTGTCATATTTTGCGGTATCTTGTCAGGTGCATACTACAGTAACAATTACATAAATGAATCAAATAAGTGAATCCTTTATATCACCTGCGCCTGGAACTGAATTCAGAAAGAGATGGTTCTGTCTTTACGGCTGCCCTGGTAAAAACAAGCAGTAACATTTGTTCGTTGTTGAAATTGTTGTTCACTTATAAAGGATTCACTTATTTGCTTCATTTTTTATAATTGTTACTTTAGTATGCACCTGACGAGATACAATGAAATATGCCAGGCAATAAATTGTGCAATCTATTATTTGTGTCTTCTTTGTTCAGATTTACAACGGGGAAACATTGCTTTAAAGTAGATTAATTTGGAAGTGACGAAAACAGTCGTTTACTGTTCAGCATTTAGACATTGTTTCGAAATATGAAACATCGTCGTCACTTGTAAATTTCACACATAAGTAGAGAATTGGATCAGCCCTTGCGTATTATATCCAGTTGATTTAACCATGACATTTCATCTTTGGAAGAAAACTCTTTTTAAGACTTTTCTCACCTCATCAGGCACAAGATTTTGTAGGGAATTTCTTGGGGCAGTACTATAGCCTGGGGGATGCTGTGACATGCCTTCGTTCGCCTTGTACATACAATGTGCCAAAAAGTGTGTTGGCTTCCTTTGACTAGGTTGACACACTGTCTCCCAGACAAAAATGCGCAGCTTTCTGTCTCCCAGATAAAAGTGAGCACTGCCTTTTCTGTGAACAACTTTTCTAGGTTAGGGTTAAATGCAGAAATACTGACAGGTCAGGAACATTCATGGCCAAGGCCAGGTCACGATGTAAGAACAGCGCTTCAGAACAGGACATCTTGAGGGCGAGGAATGATCGAAAATAACTCACACTGAAAAAGACAATACAGTTAACGATAACAATGCTGAAAAGAACCAACATGCCTAGAATGTATGAGTTTTAGGGTTAGTGTTAAATCAACAGCGACTGAGACTAACCTTTACCCCCTAAGACTATAGGACTGTCCCAGGGAATTCCCTACTAAATCTGGCACCCGACGAGGTGGGGTGAAAAGGTAAATTAGTACCAAAAATAATAATTGAAAGAAAAAAAATTATTTTTGGGGGAAACATTTTTTACACTCCTCCTGAAACATTGCTTGTTTTCAATCTACTAACATTACAAAAGCCTTCTGTTGCTAACTGTCATATTTTGTTTGTTAATGATCAATTTATGCCATTCATAATTTGTAAGGTGAATTTTTTTTTTCATATGATATAGGTCAGTTCAAATCCCCTGGACGAGGTATACGAGGAGCTCAGTTTGGCCGGCAGGGATTCCATGGGGGACAGCAAGGCTTCCAATACCCTCCCGGAAGTTATCCAGGAACTCCGATGCATCCAGGAATGGAAAGAAGGATGTCATCAGCTGGTTATGAAGGTTAGTTCAGACTTTGATACATTCAGAGATCATCAGTTTTCAGCTGGTGTTTTGTGGAGCCCTTAAGCTGTGCACTTTGATACATTCAGAGATCATCAGTTTTCACTGGCGCTTCATGGAGCCCTTAAGCTGTGCACTTTGATACATTCAGAGATCACCAGTTTTCACTGGCGCTTCATGGAGCCCTTAAGCTGTACCTGCTTTTCTCAAGAGCTCTGTGGCCACTCCAGGAAGATAAATACAATTTGAAAGAAATTAAAGATTGAGAAACAGAAAGTAGAATCTGCTGCCACTCGCTCCAAAATTATTGACAAAGTTTGACACTATAATGTCACCTGCCCTTCCTGCAACTAAATAAGGGGCCCCACCAAAGAATTTGCTTTTAAGAAGGGCTCAGCTGAACCAAAAAAAAAAAAAAAGTTAAAAACCAGTGCACAAGATTTATATTTGCTGTTAGAGGGCATGTCATCTACTTAAGAAAATTTCGGACTGACTCTTTTTATGCCAGTGGTATATTGGGCATGTGATGCTAGACTGTTTATAGACCAGTCAGCCTTTAATGAACAATGTGGTCAACATCATGTCAGCCACCTTTACTTCCTAGGACTTTACCTGCTACTCACTTTAGACTGGGTCAGTCTGCAAGTCAACATTATTAACACACAAAAGGTCAGACTTTATGCAGATTCCAATCCAAGACCTTTGTTTCAGCAGACACACGTCTAGCTGCTTCGACAATACATAGACGCTGTTTTATCAAACCCAAAGAACCATTGCAATACTCTCTCTTCTGTTCTATGCTGTAACTTCTGCTTCTCATTCATCTAAAGACAAATGCAGTGTGCCCATTTACAACATGGCTGTGATATTTGGGCCTTTTGGCAGACACATCCAACTTCTGCAGGCCTGGGTTAGGCTTCCCGGGTTGGTCTTTTGGGTGTTTTATATAGATGAATACAGTCATATAACAGCAATACATAGAGTTTTTCTGTTCACTTCTACATTCGCCTGTAAAGGGGCAGTTGGTACATTGTGTTGTTGTTTACAACTAGGCTGTGATATCTGGGTATTTCAACCTAACACATCAGATTTTTAGAAAACTATTTAATTTATTTTTATGATATACACATTAGAGGAAGTGATTACACCCCCCCCCCCCTTCTCCTCCCCATAAAAAAGGTCCTTAGCATCCACACAGGGAATTAAACAAACAGACGTGAAATATTTCAGCTGGCTATAAGTTTGATGAGGAAGCTGCCATGGTGTCACAGCTAGATGCTCGTCTGCAGATCTGAAGGTTGTAGGTTCAAATCCGAACAGTGCTGGAGTGTTTTCAAAAATGATCTTGGTTTCCAGGTTGACCCAGCCTTACAAAGGCGCCAGGTAAGTCATGGAAAGTCAAGGTGTCAGGCATGGTGCTGAGCACATCACCCATCATGCTCCGTTTGGTCTATAAATTATTGGTTTTGCCCTATGTGCCAAAAACACATGTCAGCGTGGAAACTAATCGTTTAAATTATATAAGTTTGATGCATAATCTTGACTCTGGTAGTGTCAGCATTGAGAAATCTCACACATGCATTTCTTCTTATCTTTCTGCTACAGGTGACAGTTATGGTCAGGGCACTGGAGAAGAGAGCTATGATTACCAGCAGCTTGCTTCTGATGACAGCCATGACACACAGCAGTCCTCCAACGATCTGAGTCAGACACAGTCAGGATTCCACGGTGCATTTGGCAATGGGAGTGGCCAGTCTTCAGAGCAGAACCAGTCTGGGGAAGGACAGGGTCAAGGGGGAGACAGTCCACCAGACATTAAATATGAGGTCACACCAATGCCTTTTATGAAAACCAATGATTTTGAATTGATAGAGATAGACCCTGATGAGGAAGATGACATATAGAAGGGCATAGGGACGAGGAAGATGATATGTAGAAGGGCATAGAGATAGAGGAAGATGATTTGTAGAAAGGCACAGAGATACAGGAAGATGATATGTAGAAGGGCATAGAGATAGAGGAAGATGATTTGTAGAAAGGCACAGAGATACAGGAAGATGATATGTAGAAGGACAAAGAGATAGAGGAAGATGATTTGTAGAAAGGCACAGAGATACAGGAAGATGATATGTAGAAGGACAAAGAGATAGAGGAAGATGATATGTAGAAAGGCACAGAGATACAGGAAGATGATATGTAGAAGGACAAAGAGATAGAGGAAGATGATTTGTAGAAAGGCACAGAGATACAGGAAGATGATATGTAGAAGGACAAAGAGATAGAGGAAGATGATTTGTAGAAAGGCACAGAGATAGAGGAAGATGATATGTAGAAGGACAAAGAGATAGATGAAGATGATATGTAGAAGGGCACAGAGATACAGGAAGATGATATGTAGAAGGACAAAGAGATAGAGGAAGATGATTTGTAGAAAGGCACAGAGATACAGGAAGATGATATGTAGAAGGACAAAGAGATAGAGGAAGATGATATGTAGAAGGGCACAGAGATACAGGAAGATGATATGTAGAAGGACAAAGAGATAGAGGAAGATGATTTGTAGAAAGGCACAGAGATACAGGAAGATGATATGTAGAAGGACAAAGAGATAGAGGAAGATGATTTGTAGAAAGGCACAGAGATAGAGGAAGATGATATGTAGAAGGACAAAGAGAAAGAGGAAGATGATATGTAGAAAGGCACAGAGATACAGGAAGATGATATGTAGAAGGACAAAGAGATAGAGGAAGATGATATGTAGAAAGGCACCGAGATACAGGAAGATGATATGTAGAAGGACAAAGAGATAGAGGAAGATGATTTGTAGAAAGGCACAGAGATACAGGAAGATGACATGTAGAAGGGCATAGAGATAGAGGAAGATGATTTGTAGAAAGGACAAAGAGATAGAGGAAGATGATTTGTAGAAAGGCACAGAGATACAGGAAGATGATATGTAGAAGGACAAAGAGATAGAGGAAGATGATTTGTAGAAAGGCACAGAGATACAGGAAGATGATATGTAGAAGGACAAAGAGATAGAGGAAGATGATATGTAGAAAGGCACAGAGATACAGGAAGATGATATGTAGAAGGACAAAGAGATAGAGGAAGATGATATGTAGAAGGACAAAGAGATAGAGGAAGATGATATGTAGAAAGGCACAGAGATATAGGAAGATGATATGTAGAAGGACAAAGAGATAGAGGAAGATGATTTGTAGAAAGGCACAGAGATACAGGAAGATGACATGTAGAAGGGCATAGAGATAAAGGAAGATGATTTGTAGAAACGACAAAGAGATAGAGAAAGATGATTTGTAGAAAGGCACAGAGATACAGGAAGATGACATGTAGAAGGGCATAGAGATAAACCCAGGTGAGGGAGATGTCAGTGGGAGAGGGGGTGGGGGGATAGAGATAGCATCCAGATGATGAAATATATGAAGTATTGAAATTGACACAGATAAGGAAGATGACATAGGAGGGTACAGAAAAGATACTGATGAGGAAGATTACATATAGGAGGTTAGTATAGAGATAGACCAATATAAGGAAGGGCATAAAGATAGACACAGAAGAGTAAAGTGATATATATGAGGACATAGAAGTAGATGATAAAAATGACAAACAGTATTTCATAGAGAGACCCAAGTGAGTTGACATATTGATGGGTATAAAAATAGACACAGATGAAGGATATGGTATAGAAGTCGACAGATAAGAAAGATAAACAGTAGTAGTTCACAGAGATAGACCCAGTGAGTAAGCTGACATATTGGAAGTCATAGAAATAGACACAGAAGAGTAAGATGGAGGGCATAGAAATTGACGGATGAGAAACACAAAGAAATATAGCAGGGTACAGAGATAGACCTCTGTAAGGAAAACGACATGAAGGTGTAGAAATAGACATCGATGAGGAGGACAACATATAGGAGAACACAGGGATGGATGCAGAAGAGGAAGATGTGACATATATGGTAAAATAGGGATAGACACAGTTGAGTAAGATGACACATAGGAAGGCAAATGAATAAACAGAGGTGAGGAACTTAACATCTAGGAAGGTATCATGTCGTCACAGTAATAATTACACATGTTATGCACGGACTAGTGAACAATGAATATACAAAGCTATAGTAACATGAAGATGACACATTTATGACTAATATTTCCACTTGAATACTAGGTTGATTAAACTTTCTTGTATCACTCCTTCTTTTAAATTTGACTCTCACAGGCTTATTCTTTTAAGGATAATGTGGAGTCCTCATTGTTTTCCACATAATGCAGAGATGTAGTATATTTTCCAATATGGTTGAAACTTTCAAGCCACTTTTCGTTGTGGTATTGCTGGTTGTCGTGATAGCAGTGACCACTTATTTTTGTGTTTGTTAGTTTTGTAAAAGATCAGGTGATTCTGTTGTGACACTTTTAATGTGTCAGATGTTTAGTTGTCTGTCTCAAATTGTATGTAAAGGGAGATTGGCCGTACATCTAAAAGTGGTTACTATATATCTAAAAGTAGGGATTATACATCTATAAAGTGGAGATTGCCTCTACAACTAAACATGGAGATTGTGAGACTGTACATCTAAAAGTGAAGATTCTACATCTAAAAGTGAAGATTTTCTGTTCAAAATTTTTTTTTTTTTTAAATGTGTAGGGTGATTGAAAGTGGTCAGATGTTTTGATTTTGTTTATATGGGATCAGGTATCTTTCTGGAATAAAGGAAGGAAGAGACAGGCAATGTGAACAGTACATCTAGAATAAATCTTCTGTGTTCCCATGGAGCAATATCTTTGCAAGCAACAGCTAAACTTGAATTCAGTGCTAGGCCTTTGCTCATAATGTGCAGTCATACGCTTGCAGAAACATGAAGCCAGCATTTAGATGTATCTGTTTATAATTCAGTTATAATATTGTGAGATGAAATGAAATGGTCATTACTTAGCAGTCAGGTGAGGAAAGTGATTCTGGAATGTTGTTTTAAGGACATAACAACATATTGTATCAGATTCAGTGACAAGCAAAACATCAAATGATTTGATCACCCCATTATAATAATGCTACAACTACCACCAGTACAGGTGCTACACCCAAAAAGATGTGATATGAGAGCATAAGGGCACTGAAGGAGAATATAGCTTCATGATAGTAAGGACATTTTGGAAATGGCCTATGTGCAGTGATGTCGATGTGATAACATAAGGACATTGTACATCCACACAGAATGACAGTAGTCAGTGCTGTCCATGAAACTCTGGACCACATACAATTCTTCCTTATAATGCCTAATGGCAAAAGTGGAAGTTCCTCCTTCTTTGTGTTCACCGGCTGTAAACTGCGGTGGAAAGTTCTGGTTGTTCGTCCACTTCTGGACTGCAGTCCTGTTCCAGAACCTGAGTGTTGGGTGTGCATCCGTTTGACAGATCTGACTTATTTATATGCAGACTGTTGGTTCTTTGCCTCTCAGGCAGATGCACTCCAACTTCGAAGGAAGCTCCCAATAAGTCTACTCTTACAACATGCTTTTGGGTAGGCAGTGGGTCTATTCTTGTTTTCCCTATAATAGGGCCCTGCAACCCACACGGGGGAAAAGTGGAAATTGATGCTGGTGATTTTGAATAAATAGGAATTGAACAGAAGCACTGTTTTAGAAAAGTTTTGGGAATATCATGGTTGATGCATAGTATGAAAGGGCAAGACTAGCAATGAGAGAGAAATAGGTTTATATATCTGACACAAAGGCTTGTGTAACTGTGGCCTCTCTGTAGATTAGTGGCAGACTCAGTACATCTAAGTGCAAACCCAACACATCTTTTACAAGGGTACATTCCAAAAGGAGTCACAAGCAGCTCTAGTACACACAATCATGTAAGTGGCAATTGTTAAAAGTTTAAAAAGAAAATTACATTTATCTAGAACAGGGAAAATCATCACATTGATTTCATGATTCATGTTTAAGTAAAAGTTTGCGAAAGAATCACACACCTATTCAAAACAGTTTTTAATGGGCAAATTACTTTTTAACTTACTGATTGGCCATTACAGTAGAACAATCCACACTTTATTCTTTTGACAGCAACCTGTGATGGATTCATCTTTCCTCCTCTCCCCCCCCCCCTCTCCTACTCCTCCCCAACCCGGTTCTTGATTAAAATAGCCAGGGTTTAGTTCAAGAACCTCTCCAAAATCATGGTATTGGAGGATATCAGACAACGAAAATATCAAGAGAGAGAGAAAAAAAAGTCAATGATAACAGAGCAAACACACAGCTAACTAAATACTGGCCGTGCACCATCATGACCTCAGTCTGAACTTTGACTGCTGAGACCTTGATGGCTCTTCTTTTTGTTTCTTGTTGTAAATTTGAAACATGACTGAATTGTCTTTTTGCTGGCTGATTTTTGTTTTTGTGATTCAGTTTCTAGAGGAAGCTTCTGTTTCACATAAATATTTTATGCCAGCTGATTATTTGTTAACTGGATTGGTTATTATTGTTTTTTGTTTTCCTTGTGTTCAGAGCATTTCTTGAAGGAAGAATAGATAATATGGTTATTAAAAACACTGTTTTGTACAACATTGATAGCTTTGCTTCAATGTTGACAATTATTGTATGTTGTAGACAAATCCATATACTTATGTGTATACATGAGTGATGCTTGCGTGTGTGCTGTCTGCCTGCCTGCACGTACATGCCTATGTACCTATGAGCCCTAACCTATGAGTTAAAATAGGCCTTACAGCATGCTGATAACAGGATGTAAAAGTGGATAGATGGTAGTAGAAATGTATGTTTGATTGAGCAGATAAGAACAAGAAATGCCCACATGTGGTGCCCTGTTTATTATCAGCAACAAATAATGGCTTAACTGACTTGATGTCCCACAGAGGCAG